GGAGTCTCACGGTCTCTCCTGCCCGAGCTGGCTTTGAACCACGATCCTCAGATCTCAGCCTCCTGAGTAGCTAGGATTACAGGCGTGAGTCACCAGTGCCCGGCTCTCTTTACTTTTTATGGGCTCCATGCAGCATTCCCTTTGTGACCTCCCTGTATTCCTTCAGGTGTCTCTTTGTGGATCCCATGAATAACACCATTAATTTTTTCTATTCTCATCCTGGTCACCTAATTTTTGTATTAATCTTTGATTAGCTTCCTCATATTCTGGTTTTTGTTTGTGGTGTTTGGTTTTCCTATGGTTTGATTGGTTTATTAAGTCTGTTTGAGCAGGCAGAAAAAAGCACTGCATTATCCAGGACTTTATGACCCTCCTCCCAGGCTAGTTCAGTGGGAGGGAGATCTGCTTTGAGTATCACCAAAGAGAGAGATGGCTGTTTACTCTAACTAGGAGTTGCTGTGATGGGGCTAGGTTTTGGGTAAGGTTGAGGCCAATTAGCAGTCAGTAGCTTTTTCCTGAGGGGAGTGCTCTGGAGACACTCACAGAGGCCAGCCTAGAGCCATTCTCAGGATTTATGTTTACAGAGTTTCAATTGTTTTTCTTTTTTCCCTCCTGCTGCAGGGTCGCTGCCTACTGCAGGTGAGAGGGGCAACCTCTGGCTCTGTTTTCCCAGTGAAGAAAGTCACTCCTCGGTGGTCAGAGCCACCTCTGCCTGGGAAGGACAACAAATTCATCTTGGTGGAGCTGAGTCGGTCAGTTCAAGTTCTTGTGACCTGTTGAGTGGTTCATATTGTCTTCTTCCAAGGCCTGAGTTGCATGCTAGTTGCTCTAGCTGGTCTTTTTCAGTATGAAAGATGGAGTTCTTCCCAAGTGGTTGGGGGAGGGGCTACCTTCCCACCACTGCTTTGTGAGGAGGGAGTGTGTCTTATACTCACACCTATCCCTTGGTTTCCAGGCTGTCCATTTCTACGGTCTGTGACTGTGATCAGCAGGATGAAGATTTCCTCTCCTTGTCAGTTCTTACTGGCAGTGAGTAGAATCTGCTCATGCACAGCCTCTGGTGCCTTTGTCCTGGGCTCTCTCTGTTGATATGGCAGCCACGGCAGCAGCTGCTGCTGCCACTGCCACCTCTGCATATACATGCAGATGGTCCAATCTGACTCCTTAACCAAGCTGCCTGGATTTTGCCTCTCTGGCCAAACTCTGTACTATGATGGCACACTTGGTGTGACTCTCTAGCCTAGGACTTTCACTGGAACACTAAAACTGCTTTCTATGTGTGAGCTTGTTTTGCCCCCACCTTCTCCTCCACCATCTTCCTCCAGACCATTATTCAGGAATTCTGTCTCTTTATTGATGTCTTTTTTTTCGAGTCTTGCTCTACTTCACCAATTCGTTTATCTGTGCTTTCTTCTTCAATCTTTTAACTATGTAGCTGTATTTTCATTGGATTTCTTTTCATTCACTTGGAATGTTGTCCATATAGTCTTGCATTATTCTTTGATTAGCTACATCCTGTTCACAAAATTTCTTGTAGAGGTTCTCGATCTTTTTAAATTTTAATTTTATTGTAAAGATCATGTACAGATGGATTACAGTTACATACATAAGGTAATAAGTACATTTCTTAACCAATTTTACCCCCTTTCTCATTTTTCTCCCACATTCCCTCTCCTCTGACTCCCTTCCCCAAGTTTAAAGTTCATTTCCAACATAGTGTCTTGTGAGTATCACTGTTGCATTGATTTGCCCTTTGTCCTTTGTCTCACATTTTAGTTGTTCTCCTTACCTTACCCAAATCAGATAAAAGTATATACAAGACACAGGGTACCAATATCAAGAGTAGTGACAACAGGGTATAAACCAAAAAAAAAGAAAACAAAGGATAAACTAACTTCATACAGTACATTAAAAACAAAAACAACAAAGAAAAATGCTTGTTTCCATATCTTGGAGTTCATTTTGATTAGCATAATTTTATTTGGACATATGTACAAGGGCGATGGTACTCTACAAATGAGATTGAAAATAAATGAGTTCTTCTCAGAACATTAGAACATACATTCATAGCAATAACAGGCTTCATAGAAAGCAAAACAAGAAACGAATCCCCAAAGAAGAATCAGCTCTGTTAAAAAATAAGAGGGGAAATAAGTTAAAATACATTAGAAAATATGAAGACAGGTTCAAAGGACAGTTAACAGAGAAAACCATTTACTCAACACTACAGAATATTTTTCTTATAGTGAACATTAATGTGTTGTTAAATTAAAGGAAATAGATTTTAAAGAATTAAAGGTTAATTGGCACCTGAACAAAGAATAAAGAACAGAAGTTCTATTTACTTCATTCTTTCCTCTTCCCTTCTAACCTCTTCTTTCTAACAATGAATACAATGTCTTTACATATTGTCTACTGGTGTGGGTATAAAGCAGGGGCCAACATCTTTTCTCTGTGAAGAGCCAGATCACAAATATTTTAGACTTCATGGACCATAAGATCTTTGTTACAACTATTTTAACTCTGCAATTGTTAGCATAGAAGCAACCATAGATAAAACATAAATGAATATGTAGCTATGTGCCAATAAAACTTTACAAAACAGACAGCTTATAGGATTTGGCATACACCAGCCCTGGCTTGTTGACCCCTTGTGTCAACTGCAAAGTGTTGTTGGAGTGTTGCTCTTGAATTCAAAAAGCTACTATAGACAGCAATGTTTGGCTGCTGAGGTTGAAGAAGGTTGTGTATCAGAATCACCTGTCACCCATATTTGCCTTAGTAGGATCTAATTCAAGACTGACTAAATGTGGAATTTAGGTATTTTCAGCCCTAACAATTTTAGCATGGTTAGGAGTGTTGTATATCATTATATGCCCTAAATAGCTCCTAAATATATGTCCTCTTCCCAATCCTTCCCACATGATCTTATAAAAGCATATATGAAAAAGCTTTCAATCAAAACATATCAACAGCCACACAATTAAGGCATTTTTTCTTTTCTTTTCTTTTTTTTTTGGTCCGGTCGTGGGGCTTGAACGCTGGGCCTGGGCGCTGTCCCTCAGCTCTTCAGCTCAAGGCTAGCGCTCTACTACTTGAGCCACAGCGCCACTTCCAGCTTTTTTCTTTTTGCTTATGTGGTGCTGAGGAATCAAACCCAGGGCCTCATGCATGCAAGGCAAGCACTCTACCACTGAGCCACCTTCCCAGCCCAAGGCATTTTTTCTAAGAAAACTATTAGCTATCAAATTAGAAATAAGAAATAAACTCTATCCCCCAATCTGTATTATTGACAGAGAAAGCTTTTACTTTGCCATCTTTCCCCATTTCTGCCTCAAGATTTTGATTATTCAGTATGTACCTAAATGGTCTATGTAATTGCACTTAAGAGACCTAGAACCACAGGGAAAAGGGTTAAAATGAGGGAAATAAAATGTAGCCTTCTTAGATAGGTTCCTCACATGGCAGGTGTGGCTGCCAAGCAATAAGCATTAAATAGAATCAACTACTTCTCATATGTCAATATTGATTTGTTTTTCATGAAGGAGGGCCCAGCATGTCTCTTTCTATAGCCCTGCATCTGAAGCAGTGATTCCTAAAGAGATGACAAGAAGAAGATTATTAAAATTATCTGGAGAGTTTTCACTGCCAAAAGTCTGACATTCCCTCTAAAATGTCATCATTCCCTTCCCCAGAAATTGCTTCACTAAGCTATTATTACTGATTGGAATGTGGTTTACAAGTATATTGGGGAAGAAAAAACTGTTTAAAAACTGCTGATGGGAAATAGCTGGATAAACAATCTACAATGTGAATATAAATGATAAAAGACAGAACATAAGCCTTATCCACAGCAGGCAGACAAACCTTTAGTGGCTTCATTAAATACTGAGACCCAATGAATGCACTAAAGTATTAGTTCATTTGCTCATATTTTGAATTATTGTCATAAAATTGTAACAAAACAAGCTTCACAACTTTTATAAGATTCTGGGAAGAAAATTGGACCATTTTAGAAGCATAGATAATTATGAACATTTCAGTAATGCTCTGTTAAATTAAGCTATACGCTATTAAGCTGGACACTATTCCTCTTTCCAATGAAGTTTGATTTGTTCAACCATGTTCACTGTTCACAAGGCATCTGGGAGGGGAAAAATAAGGCGCATGTGCCAAAAACTTAGAAGGCGATAAGTCCCCCCAAACAAATACAGAATACCAGAATATTTATAGATTGAATAGTTATATCTGGGTGGAGTACAGAATCAGGCAAAGCTCCATTCATTTTTTGACTTTTAAATTTCTTTCTCCCAAGCAGTAAAGCAGTTACTGGTGTTTTGTGGTATATTAGATGCTGATTTTATAAAGAACTGCCTTTGTTTTTAAAATGTGTCATTTAGCCCTTTCAATGTGATTTCAATTATTTCCCCCCTCCCCTCCCCACTTTTCTCTTTCCCTTCCTTCCTCCCTTTTCCTCCTCCTCCTACTCCTTTTTCTCTTCTTCCTTTTTGCTCTCTCTCATACACACTTTCTTATTTTTTTAATTATTGGGAACAAGGCCTTGTTATAAACCACACTGGTTTTGAACTGGCAACCCTCCTGCTTCAGGCTCCCAAGTACTGGGATTACAATAGGTATAATCATGCAGGATTTCAATAGTTTATTTTAAATGTAAATTCATTATATCTCAGAGCTAAAGATTTCTCTATTGGAGCATCATCCTTATAAGGCAGTGGAAATCACTTTGAAAAAAGGGATTATCCTGTCTAATTCATTTAAGTGTTTCCAGCCATAAATCTGCTACCTAATATCTCCATGGCACCGATTATTTGCAGCTTTGAAGGAAAGTTAGGGAGAAGCTGTTTCTTAGCTATTATTTGGGATTCAAGTGAGACAATAAGACAGATATGCAGTTCAGAGTTCTCTCTCTGTCTTTCTCTGTCTCTGTCTCTCTCTGTCTCTGTCTGTCTCTCTCTATCTATATATCCATCTCTCTCTCTCACACACACACACATACACAGCTGACTTGGCAGTTGGCAGCTTCTAGGTTGGAAATGGGAAAGTCTGTGCCTGCTAAGCTGGTTTCTGCTTCAAGTGCCTGCATGTCTGAGGCTGAGTATGAAGCTTCCAGCATGGCTGGAGTTAATTCCCATTAGATAGGACTCCGCCCCTCTCTCCCAAAGGTAAAGCAAGGTTTTCAGGCATCATTGCAAAGAGCAGCTGGGATTCCCATCCCTGTCTGACAAGCTGTGAGGAGAAGTCGTTTCTCAGAGCTAAATCTGAAGAGAGGGAACAAGTCACTCAGTCTACGTGGTCAGAAGGTAAATATACAACTTTGGCCAAACGCAATTGAAGCAGCTGGATAAGAAACTGCTCTGCTCTCTCCTTGCTCAGTCCTTCTTCCCTGTTCCTTTCTCAGGCTTCCTGTCCTTTCATGTCAAAGCTCAGACATGCTGTTTTCTTCCCAAGGGCAACCTGATGTGTTTTTACTTGCTCATAGACTGTTTTTTTGTAGAGAGGCTGAGAGGAATTAAGAGCTGGATGTCTATTTCATATTGACAAGGTTGGAGGACCTAAGGGTTAAGGGCTAGCTGCTTTCCCCAGAAGACTTGGTAACTTGAGAAGAGGAAGTATGTAATTCTCTGGGAGTGGAAGGAGGGATTTTTCTCTAACTTGTTCATAAGAGTAAAAATGGATCTAGTTTCCAATGTGGTAGGTCGATTTCATAGACTCACCAAAATTGGAGTTACAGGGCTGAAAAGGGTGACAGAATTAAACTAAAATGCAGATGTTGAGGCTGAAGACAGTAAGGATGGAAATAAAAGATGGCATTTATTTAGTATTTATGAGTTCCTACTATGTGTTAGGCAGGATGATTTCCAGAAAGACCTGAAATATGTAAACTATAAACCTATTCTTGCAAAGAACAGTCTGTCAAGTGCTTTCATTTTGTGGTGGGAAACTAAATGCTTAAAGAAGCATAGGAGTAAAGAGACATCACTGTTAGTGATTGTAAGGTGAAAGGAGTCAGTGGTGCTGTACTTCTTGGGTGACTTCAAGTATTTTCTATTACTTATATTAAAAAGAAGACCTCTAAGCCTTCTTTAATAGAAAGAGGATGAATTGATGTCTACCCTGGTGTTAAATACAGCACAAGTGTTATTTCAGTTGAACTTTGTACACAGTCATCTCCATTACATAAAAGAAACCAAAATGTATCACCTGTAAGACTCAGACCTCAGGAATTTTGTATCAGGTTTGATACCAATATTTGGACTCCATTCCACTAAAACAGTGTTTCTTAGTTGTATGTTCACATCTGAATCAATGGAGGAATTAAAATATGCAAATTACTATAAATGTGAATTCAATAAATTTGGGTAGAAGAGCCTATATTTTAGACAAGCATCTTAGGTGATTCTGATGCAGAGCAGTCAGGGATCCCAGTTGATTAAACGCTCTAGTTGTAACTAGGTCCTAAAACAGTTGGAGAAGCATTCAGTCTATCTTTTTCTCATATTGACTGAATCCAGTCAATGGAGCTAGTCAACTGTGTTATATGTTATTCCCAACTGAGGCCAAGAGATTAGAGTGCTTATTGAGCAACAGTAGCAGAACAGAAGTTAGGAGGTAAGGGTGTGGGACATGCCTTACCAGTTAGTGTATGGTTGATAGGGCTTACCTACACTTTGCCAGAGTGACAGGCAAGGTATAGGTTCTAACTAGTTGAGGTTGTGCAACTGGATTTGTAGTTAACTAATTGATCCCTGATGATAGGGGACATAGTTTCCCTGTCCAGCCATAGTGAATATTAGGCTATAGATTCAAAGTTGGAAAAGCATAAGACACATATGAGTTGGGTGAGCAGCATTTTGAGTTAAGGAAGAAACTCATAGTAAATTTAGAGAATTCATTTCAGTTCCCATATTTCCAATGCCAAGCTTTGGAGAAAGAAATTTAGAGGTTCTTTTCATGAGTCCTCCAGTTTTGTGAATGCCAACTCTATTATTTAGAGTTGACCATTTTGATATTTGATGGCTCTCACTTACTTTCTGGCTTCCTAGCTATTATACCTCTATTTACTTATAAACGTCTCCATCTCAAGATGAACTAACCAACTACCGAACTCAGTAAAGCTAATTTTGCTTATTTTCCTCTCCCAGACCAAAAAAAGAGGAAGGAAAGAGGGAAAATGCCTAGAATGAGGTTCAATTGAAAACCAAGGATAAAGGTGAGATCTTAGGTTCACAAAGAAACAAATGGAAAATAAATTTCTTTGAGTGATTTCATCATGAGATGATTTTAGGAACAGGAGAACTTGGAAGCAACATACTGTGGAGATATCTAGAGGAGGAAAAACTTTTAAGTGGCATAGGTGGCAGAAAATGTTATGAGAAGTATGTAGGACAAGGTAGTAAAAATTTCAGGGCTATGTGTGCAACACAGAGATCGATAAGGGGTAGGCTGTTTAAATAATAAGCTTGACACAAGAGGTAACATTGGTCAAAGGCATTTCTCTGTAGCAGGACTCTATGTACTAGGATCATAGGGCTGCATGGCTTCTCATTTCCTAGGCAAGTCTCAACACTGGGTATAGTGTATTTCTAAGAGTTTTGGTCACTAAGCAATCTACACTGTCTATGGGCATGAAGAGAAAAGCCTGTTCACATTCCTTTGCCAATAAATTTCCAGTGCCAATAAATTTGTTGTTCAGAGTCAAGTTCTGAACAAGGAGTATTATAGCCACAGTTTCCTCAGCCATACATGTCAGTGATTCTCTTTCAAACCAATTCTTTTCCATGTACTCTGTTGACCTTAATAAAGAGGTGTTATTTCCTTAAGTTGTTCAACAAGCTCTAGAGGGAACAAAAGAGGACTGGGATTGAGATGAGTTAGAGGAAGGAGTTGGTGTATTTTCTTCCACTAAGAAAAATTTAAGAGCAGTGTCTCCAGCTTTATTGAAAGTATGTGCCCCCATGTGAGAGGGAACAAATGAGAAAACAGACTAAATACAAGGCAATGGGATACCACAGGGACAGAGAGACAATGCTTAATTTGGGGAAAAAAAAGAGGATAATGGTAACCTGCCAGCAATCTGAGTTAATAAAAGGCCCTCAACTGGAAGACAGTGACCAGATATTCTCTATTCACTTTAAGGACTCAGTTAAAAGGCCTGGCTTTAAGTTGCAGCAGAAAAGGTTCATAAATGACTAAGTGATTTGTTGACAGTAAGAGTTGTAAAGTTACTGAGAAAAATTCTAGACTTTTATTCCAAGGATTTCTTTAAAAGTAGTAGAGATAAACTGGGGATTGGTGGCTCAGGCCTGATATCCTAGCTACTCAGAAGGCTGAAAACTGACGATCATTATTCAAAGCCAGCTTAGGGAGGAAAGTTTTGAAACTCTTATCTCCAATTAACCTCCAAAAATGCTGGAAGCGGAGCTGTGGCTCAAGTAATACAGTGCCAATTGTGAGTAAAAAAAGCTTAGGGACAGTACCCAAACTCGGAGTTCAAGCCCCAGGATCATCACCAAAACAAAAGGGAGGTTTCTTGTATCCTATAGGGTGTAGATTGTCTCTTTCCATGAGATTATGTTCCATAAAGATCAGGGAACATGAGGATAGTGAATGAAGAGCAGACTTCTTACTTCCACCTGGTTATTACAACTTTCTGGGTGAACTCAGTGAATCTATATATAGCTATTCTCACGTGACTCAGTTATCAGGGAAACAAAGGGATGGAGGACCATGAACTGTCTGAAGAGGGATACTAAAATGCACTCTCAAAAGTGAAGCAAGCCAGGCCCAAAGAAACATAGGTCCCATGGTTTCCCTTATTTGCAATATCTAGTATATGTATGAGTCAAGCGGAAAAGGTCAGATAATGTGATGTCAGGAAAATGAACCTTAGACATGTATTTTAATGTTTTTTCTTTCATTCATGTGTTTCTAACGCATTTATAAGACTATCTCTTTGTTGCTTTGTATGTCCCTCCCCCACAGTATAACCCCTGCTTTTACTATATTTGATGTCAGTATAACTTGTGGAGGAGAGGGGGAAAAAACAGTTGTTTAAGGATACAGGTGGACCTGATGCAACAACGAGAAGAATAAGTGGCAAGGCCAAAAACAGCTTTACAATGTCGGTCCGGAGGGGGGGGAAGGGGGGGAGGAGAAGGGTTGGAATGGGGGGGAGGGGGGAGGCTGGGAAGGGATGTGAAGGGTAAACCAAAGGAGGAGGCTGCAATGCTTGGTAAGAAATGTATGCATTATCCTGCCCATGTAATTGTAACCCCTCTGTACAGTATGTTCACAAATAAAAAATAAATTAAAAAAAATAAAAATACAAAATTAAAAAAAAATTGGTTACTGTACCATTCTGCAGGAACACTGTGGCATTATTTTTTGGTTTTTGAAACCGGTGTGCCTATTTGGACAGAAGCAAAACTACTGCATATAAGAAGCATACAAAAGGATTTTGGATAGAATATACTGCAGCATTGTTTATGTTTTTATTGATATAAATACAAAGAGAGTTAAGCAGTTTCTGGGAAGGATCTTTGATTATTTTGGAGGGCAGTCACAAAGGGGATTTCTCCACTGCAGGTAACAAAACTAAAAGCATTTGCTAGAAGGTATTGCCCTGTTCAGCACATGTGAATGGGTAATAGCATATATATACAGATTCTCTATGTCCTTCTGCGTTTTCTGTCTAGCCATAGAAGAAACTGGGCTCAGAGTCATTGTATATTCAGGAAATAGTGAGCAATTAAATATCAGAATTTGATTTCTTGATTTCATTTGGTCAAGCTTATGATATAGAAAGGTTTACATTCAAAGTACCCAATTTGAATTGGGGAGGGTTTACCTCCCACTGTTGACATCTAGGGTCACCTTTAACTTTATGTTATTTGAATGCTAGAGTCAGTATTAGAGAATTAACTGTGACTGTCATTCTCATGAATGGTGCTGGCTCACATCATCACTAGTCCCAAACAGAGTGACCATCTCTTCCCAGGTCTGGAACTTCTATGATTATATTGGTGAAGGTCTCACATCCCAGACAAACACTGGGTCCCAGGCAAAGTGTTATAGCTGCTCAACCATGTCCTAAATGAACTAGGGCAATAAGATTTCCTAAAGTTGAAAGTACCTAATTTAAATTATGAAACACTGACTTGCCTATAGGTAGACAAATTAATGTGAATTTTGAGATTCTGCCTTCCTACATGTTGGCTTCAGAATTCCACTTTTAAGAAGAAATTATGATGACAATGATTGATAGTATTAGAGTTTATTCACTAGCCTATTTGTCACAGATAAGATCAACTTTTTTAAATTGGAGTCCCTGTCCTTTTTTCCTACCATCTTCTGGATACCACTAACTGATGTAATCTCTTCCTTTGTCTTATGGTCTCTGTACCCCCTGCTGATTGTCATGCTGGAAATTTTGATCTCATGGTAATGGTGTGGATGGTGGTTAGTACCAACTAGGTAGGGGTTAGTGAGGTTAAGAGTTAATACAAGCTATACATACTGAGCTTTAAATACCTCATGCTCTAGTTCTATGGCTTTCCATAGTATGTCTGAAGAAATGAGCCTTCCCCTTACCTTCACTTTTCCCCATTGACCAAAATTTTCTTTGAATTCTAGATGAGAAACCGTGGAAAACATTTCATTGTAATGCTATCTGGGTGATGATGTAATACTACTGGTATAAGACTGCAGGGAAGGCTACTGAGGAACAAGTGGGAAACAGTGGCCCTGAAACCACTGCATACACTTGGAAAAGTTACTTGGCTTTCTGACTCTAATCAAGTCATGTGCAGTTTGGGTAGTAATACCTTTCTTACCAATGTTGAGGAGATTGTTGGCCTGAGCACACCAAATAATGGGAGGAATTGTGACAATGCAGCCAGTAGCTGATTGCCAACTTTGTATTTTATTTTATTTTTACCTTTCCTCCTCATTCAGAAGTGGGTCTGTAATAGAGGGCTTCTTGTGCTTTTCATACTCTTACACAGTCCAATATAACAAGCAGAAACATTACCTCATTGTGGCCAAGCATACCTGCTTTCTAACAGCAATTACTCAAAACTAGTTCTACTTTCCCCCCATCTTGGCCTTCAATCTCTCACCACATCTTTCTATCATTCCCAGGGGAAGCTCAGAGCACTTTCTTCCCAGACCCTCACATTCCAAAGTAAGCACCTGCAATTTACAACCTCTGCTCCCATCCTGAACAAAACATGTACTAGAAAATGTACATGTATCAAGAGGGGAATTGTGGTGGAGTGTAAAAAAAAGAGCATTATACTAAAAATCAAATAATTGGGCTCTGGTTTGGCCAGTGTGCCTCACTAAGCATTTACCCTTGGGCAAAGCACTTCCTCTCCGTATTCCCACCTGTGAAGTGATTGGGAGCTGGGGGTAGCATTGTGTGGTAGTGAAGAACCGGCCTAGGAATCTGCAGATCAAGTTACTGGTTGTGGTGTTGCTGCTTGGTAACTGTGACTGGGAAAAATCATTTTCTCTTTGACTGGGCCAAACTCCCCCATTTGTAAAACAAGAAGGTTGGATTAGGTGATTCATTAAATCCAGCCAGTCTGGAAATTGGATGCTTCTATGAAATGGATTCATTAAACAAACATGAGTTCTACTGACTGTTCCGCATCAGGCACTGTTTGATGATGCTTGTAAGAGCCCTCATGGCTGAGACCCTGACACTTTGCATATAATTTCAGCCTGTTCCTGTTAATGTCCCAGTTGGCATTATGGTGGCCTCATAAAACTTGTTCCTGTACTTATCCTACTTTGGATTCTCCCCAACATCACTGCCTATAACTTGAAGCAACGATGATAAATCATGGAGAAGTTTCTGAAACACCCACCATCTGCCTGCTGGAGACATTCACAGTGCTGTCATCAAAATGCAGTGTGGTCTTTAAACATTCTAATAGAGGACCTGACCAGAAAGAAATGGCAGATTAATGTTGGGAGAGAAGTGGTTGATTTTTGACAGAAGGGGTCTGTAAAATACATTTATGTGCTGGACTGAGAAGACAAGATCTAGATACTCTTTTAGCATCTTGAATTGTAGATTACGTGTTCCAAAAGGGTGCTTGAAAGCTCTGTAGTGCTATGTGTACCTGCTACAAGGTCTAGAGATGCCTGATCCTTGTTTGTTTTTGATACATGAGAACCTTTCTTAACTGTATCCTTAAAAAGGACTTATAAGTTTTTCTTTATAACCAGTTAGCTGCCACTGGTTGGAAACTTGCCTCCCATTTTGAATGTAGGAAAAGTGATGCTTCTCAGTGGAAGGTAGAATGTGCAAACAAACTAGATTTTTTTTACCCTACCCATTTCAATTTGGTCGATGTATCCTTGGGAAAAGCTCACAGTAACAGTGTAGAACATCATACCTAAGTCAAATGGAAACTTCCTGTAACACAATGATGAGTTTTCCTGCTTTCTTATCCCTTTGATAGAGACAAGCCCATGACTTGTCTTCCTTTCTCCATCATTTATGAAAACAACTTTGTTCCTGACCTTTTCAAGGAATTGCCTTCTTCCAAGGCTCCAGGCTGGAAAAGTTGTTTAGATGGAATCCCTAAGGACCGCCAGTTCAGGATTACTTTCATTCAGACTCTTTCCACCACTACTTTCATGTTGTGTCAAGAGTTAGGAGCTGGCTTGTCAGGCTGTATTTATATTGGCAAAGTAGTCACTAATTCAGTTCTGTGATTCTTTCATTGCAGCAAAGTGACGATAGATCTCTGAACCAGACAGAAGAAAGGTGAAAAGCAGAATACCACCAGGACCCACACGGTCTTTGAGAGAATAATGTTATCAAGAAGGAAGTGCCAAGAGGCACATAAATGCTCTCCAGGATTTACGAACCAGATGAATAATAGTATGACAGAGCCTACATTGTAACTTTGTACATTCATTCCTTTGAACCAACTCATCTCCCCATCCCTACAGAGAAAACTGTGACCATGCGGAGCAGCCTGACCCTGGCGGGAACTCTCTGGGCCTTCCTGTCCCTTATTACTGCCGTGGCCAGTTCTGCCAGTTACTTCCTGCCTTACTGGCTCTTTGGATCACAGCTAGGGAAGCCAGTGTCCTTCAGCTCATTCCGGAGGTGCAACTACCCTGTGAGGGGAGAGGGGCACAGTCTGATCATGGTGGAAGAATGTGGGCGCTATGCCAGCTTCAGTGCCATCCCAAGCCTAGCCTGGCAAATGTGTACAGTGGTGACAGGTGCTGGCTGTGTTCTGCTGCTCCTGGTAGCACTGGCTGCTGTTCTGGGCTGCTGCATGGAGGAACTCATCTCCAGAATGATGGGACGTTGCATGGGAGCAGCACAATTTGTGGGAGGTAAGATAGTGTCACTGGGTTTGACTAAGTTGGGAGCTTTGGGATAGGAGAGGATGTGAGGACTGTGTCTTTGTGGAAAAATCTAATTTCATTTTTTGCACTTTGTAACTACATGAATGGGGACTCTTCTGAAATTCCTACTGTAATACTTTCCAAAGTGCAACCTACAATAGGGTTTATTCAGAGCCAAATTAGTTAGTAGGCAGAGTTTGTATACTTTGTTTAGCCTCAATTTTGTCACCTAAAGGTACCTGTTCAAGAACATTATCCCAAAAGTTATATCATTATCTCAAAACAGAAGAGAGCAGAATAGTAGTCACTGGAGATTTGGAGAGCAAGGGAGGAGTGAGACAAAAGAAGTTGAATATTTGCTATCCTGAAACAAGGATACAGGTTGACCCATTGTAACAATGAGATGTACAAGACACTATGTTGAAAATGAACTTTACAACTTACAGGGAGGGGTGAGGAAGGAGTTGAGGAGGTAGGAAGGGAAGGGATAATAAGGGGAAAACAAAGGAGAGGCTAAAAATGTTCGATAGGAAATATACTCATTACCTTACTCATGTAATTGTAACCCCTCTGTACAGTATCTTTATAATAAAAATATTTTAAGAAGTACAGTTAGATAGGAAGAATAAGTTCTGGTGTGTTAGGATACAGTAGGACAATGAGAGTCAACAACAATTACTTATATACTTTATGAATTTGTAAACTATAACTAGAAGAATTGGAAGGTCACCAAGATACAGAAATGGTAAGTGTTTAAGATGATGGAAATAGTAATTACTCTTATTTGATCATTATACATTGTATACATGGATCTAATTACCCCAGTGTACCCCATAATATGTATAATTGTTACATGTCAATTAAAAACAAAACAAAAACACCCCCTTCGCTAAAGCATTCACAGTTCAGCAAAATTCATGGTAATAAAACAATTCTGAATGCAAAATAATTGAAACAAATACCATCTAGTTCTGCCTTCAGGTGCCAGCGGCATATATTCTAGTGTTAATTGCTCCTATATAAACTTGATCCACAAGGGCCTTGCTCTCTGGCAGTTTCCTTACAAGACAGTAATCTCATAAACACACGCAGAAAGATATAAGAAATACATCTATAATTGTAAAATTCTGGGTACCAAAGGATATTGTAGATAACTGCTTATTTGGCCTTAATTTAAGACATCTTTGTCGAACAGTCATTAAGTAACTCCACCCAGATTTCTTGTGTCGTTGATCTACCCTACTTGTCCTTTTCCTAATTCATCTTCCCTTAATTTTAGTTCAGCCAGCTTCTAGCTATGGGCTAGGGAAGAACAAAATGCACAATTTGAACATTGTGGGAAGAGCATTAATGTGGGCAGTTAAATTGGAACTGTCTGAAAAGAAAAAAAAATAAATTTAGGCAGACAGGCAAATGGATATTTGAATATTTGTGGTATTTTACATACCTACATGGGGCAATGGGCAAAGTGCTGGTAGATTCTCCTGCTGAAGTTTCCTGATACAGTTTTGGAGTTACTATCCAATTCATTAATGCTATCATTTCCCTTAGCGTCATTATGTGAGCAAGTAGTCAGGAAACTTGGATTCTCCTTCTGTCTCATTGACATAACCTTTCTTGTACTTTACTTCGTTAGAATTTGTTCTCTGGAAGTGCAGTTAAGAACTCAGTTTTCTTTCTTCTGTCCAGTGACTGCATCCAGGTAGCACTAAAGTGAGATTAACTTAAGCAGTGAGGTTCTCAACTAGGGCTGTTTTTTTTATTCCTTCATCCTATCCCAGAGGGCAGTTGGTAACATTAGCAGACACCTTGATTATCAAACTGTAAAGAAGGTGTGACTGATATCCAGTGGATAAAGATGAAGGAGTCCACAACATATCCTGCAATATTATTGGTACAGGAAGAATACATCCCTTCACTCAACATCAACATATGCAGTCCAAAATGCCAACAGTGCCAAGACTGAGAAAACCTGGGCAATGATAACATGATCTCCTGGCCCACACACTGTGTCAGTTAAGGTGATGCATTGTGGGCTTGCGCTTAACTTAGACTCATTATAAACAGCTGAAATTTGTGTTACAATTCTAGCCTTCATCCCCTCAGAATTTTCTTGCTGTAGCTCATGATTTTCTTTTTTATAATTTAATTTTATTGTCAAAGTGACATACAGAGGAGTTACAGTTACATACATAAGGTAATGGGTACATTTCTTATCAGACATTGTTACTTCCTCCCTCGTTTTGATTTTCTAGTCACACTGAAAACCACAGATTAACTTCCTCTTGAAACCATAGTACCAAACAGGATGCTCACACTGTTCTAAGCCAAAGATTTTATTTCTCTTTGCAAATTTCATGAGTATCACAAATGAGTATTAGGATTACTTATTGCTTGGATGCATAGCAATTTTAAGTATACATTATTTCAGGAAGTGACACTTGATTGACAGGAAAGAGGAATGGTTCTCACAATTTGTATTTTAAGCCCTAGAGCCTAGCTCAATGTCTGGTACAGAGCAAGTATTCATTAATGGTAGAAAGAAAGAATGACTAAAGCCAAAGCACTAGCTAATGTATGTTTGGAAAAGGTGTACATATAAGACCTGGGTTATTTCACATCCTTTTTGTAATTTCCAAACTTCCACATAGGTGTAGTAACATCATGAGCAATGGTCTATTTCAACAGGGGAGAGACAGCATACTTCATGCACATTTCTAAGAGTTTCCTGAAAGAAGTGGGGAGGGGCTAAGTAGTCTGTAGGTCAGAAGAATAGCAGAAACAGCTTTGATCAGACACATACTTCCAGCTCGCTTTCTCTGTGAGGCTTGGTTAATAAAACCTGTTAGTTCCTCATGGACACACATTTTATCTCTAGAAACTAGAAAGCATTGAGGCAGGATGTGAAAGGGTAATGAGGATTTAGACACTCCCAGGATGAGTGGATCAGAATTTTGGTTTAGTGGCAGGTGTTTTATATATACACACACTCACATATTCACACAAATACTATTTCAGTTTCATATGATTTGGTCATCCTATATTCCCTGAGACTCTTACTCAGTAGATTATCATCACAGTGTTTACATTTAGGTAAATACCTTTGAAGTTCAAGGAAAAAATCTCTTTTGGCAGTAATCTTAATTCAGGACCCACGGAAACACTGCCAGGTCTATCCTGAGGCAGGAGAATGCTATTAGGATAGATTGCTAGACTTCTGCAGCAGCCCCATTTGTAAACAGCTAACTCATAGCCATTCCTGATTTTGTGTTAGGAAAGAGTGGCTGTCAAAGTTACACATATGTGAAGGAATGGTGGACTGCTTGACTGCACCATATTGAATAATGAATAATTGAATAATGGCACAAAACCATTACCTATGGCTCATTGGACATCTTGGGTCTGACTTCAGAGATGGACTCTTTTAGTTACAGGAAGTCAAACCCAGTCAGTTTTTGGAGCATCATGGATAAAAGACACACGAGAAAATAGCTGTGGGAGTTAAGTTTAAGTTTGCTGTTCTGCTAAGGGGAATTGATTTTGTTGCTTCAGGCCTGGCTGCTTCTCAGCAGCCAGAGCATTAACTGAAATACATCAGGGGAGGAACCAATTTGTTTCAGGTCTGGATTATCTCTGCCAGACCCCAAACCACTGAAGAGATGGAGTATCCATTAAGAACTACCTCCTCCCTCTCCTGACTCTCGTTCTCCGGTCTGGCAGCTGCCCACAGAGATGAGTGGTGGGAAATGGGAGAGACAGGAAGAAATAAAGAGCTGCTGGCCTGAGTCATACTCAGCAAGGTGACCTGATGAGGCCCCTGGGTCCTATTTGCTCCACCTGCAGCTGGTCCATCTGGACAAGCCTAGGGTCCAGAAAACCTTCCACTGGGACATTTATGCCCTTCTCCAACTGGTGAAGGAAACATCTGGCTAAGAGATTATTTCAACCCTAGGGATGCTGAAGTTTCCAACCAGCTGGCGCCCAGTTCTTGAGAACATAGCGATTATTCACATTCCCCTGTATATATGCAAGATGATTGTGAATTATACTCTACCTTCAGTAAGAGCTAAACAAAGAGGAAATACGTGAGAAGTAAATATAAGAAACTTTTGTCAAGAAAAAAGTACAAGATCTTGGATCAGGTTACTTGAGGCATGCCAAGAATCATTTTGGAACAGTGTATCAGAATCACCTGGAGTGCTTAGAAGAACATGAACCCCCCCCCCCCCGCACCCGACCACAACTCTCCAGTTTCCATTTCCATTCTCATACACACAGCAACAGGTAGAAGGCTGCATATTTTCCCAAATATCCCCAGTGCCTCTCATGCACATACAATGCTCACTTTCCCCAAACCGAGAGAGTCACTACCCTAGATATTGTTTGCTTGTTTGTTTGTTAAGAGGACAGAATTGAACATGTCTAGACTAGAACCAATTCTTTTCTCTCTGTAAGGTTCTGACACCCCATGCTTCAAGCTGAAGCAAAATTGTCACTGCAGATAACTGAGAACTTGACTTTCAAAATTATGCTATTTTTCTAAAACCTATCCTCTTTCAGTATATATACACAGAACATGTAATCACAAAATCTGGGTAAATAGCTTTTCTGCATCTCACTTATTTATTAGTTGTATGAAATGAGAACATTCAAAATATACTCTTCAAACTACTTTTGAAGAATACAATGATCATTGTCACTATAGTTCACTTCCTGTGTAATATATACCTGAACTTATTCCTTCTATATAGATTTAACTATGCATTCATTTTTGTTTGTTTGTTTTTCTCGGTCATGGGGCTTGAACTCTGGGCCTGGGCACTGTTCCTCAGCTCTTCAGTTCAAGACAAGTGCTCTACCACTTGAGCCACAGCGCCACTTCTGGTTTTCTGGTGTTTTACTGGAGATAAGGGTCTCACAGGCTTTCCTGCTCAAGCTGGCTTTGAACCGTGATTCTCAGATCTCAGTGTACTGAGTAGCTAGGATTACAGGCATGAGCCATCAACGCCCAGCTCTATGCATCCATTTTATGTGAGCATTTAAAGAAAGTCATTCATTAGTTATAGAGCATCTGACATTTTTTTTATTGTGCTGTTTGTTTTTTGGACTTTAACTTCTGAACTCCTACACATTAATTCCTTGTTCCATATGTGGCTGCCAAATATTTTATTCCTTTCTGTTGGCTGTCTCTTTATGCTAATGTCAGCCAGAGACTGATTCTCCTGGATTGGTACAATAACTGTGTAAGATAGAGTATCATTATTAGTTCCATTCTAAAAATGAGAAAATTGAGAGCAGAGATCAAAGAACTTACCTGAAGTCATGCCAGGTCTAGGTGGTGGGGTTGGAATTTGAACTTATATCTAGGCTTATTCCACAACCAATTTTCTGAAGGCATCATTTTGTGTCATCTGTCCAGATTTAATGCCTGTAAAATCCTTAATGTCTGTTAGAAATATTCTTAACAAGATATTCATGCCTGGATAATTGTCTCTAAAAAAACAGATGCTTTAAAAGTTGAGGAACTCTGAGTAGTGAAAAAAAGTGGCTGGTCACTCAATATTTTTCTGTCAGAATCTCAACAAACACACCCATAAAGGAAAGGGTTAGAATAGGTAATCTCCAAAGGCCTTTGCCTCTTTATGGTTCTATGACTATCAGATATTTAGAATAATTTTCAAGCCAAGCTGAGAAATCACTACAGAATTTTTCACCCTAGGATAGTATGGGCAAAGGCAATCTGTTATGTAGGCAAAGAAACCCCTTAAATAGACATGTTTATTGAGTATTTAATTATGTACAGGGTCCTAAGGATATACAGTTGAAGATAACTATGGCCCCAAACTTCAACGAGCTAACATCTATGAAGAAAACGAATGACAAGTTATTTTGAAGAATATGTATTACAGGATGGTTAGTAACAGGGGTAAGCAGAGTGTGCTATGAGATCAGTGAGAAACATATGCCTTAGCGTGAGGACTAAGGGTAGTGAGAGAATACCTCCTGGTAGAGGAGGAAATCTCTGCCCTGATCTAAGCAAGGGAGCTAAAGGAGGGAGACATTTGCCTAGCTCAAGAAGTCAGAGTTTTTGCCAATCCGAGGGATCTGAATGTGGAGGTTGGAAAGGAGAACCCATGTTATTCTCTTAACCTGTATTATTCCCTCCCTAGCCTGTATGGGAACTCTATCTCCATTATCTCTACCAACCACAAATATATAATGTGGCAAGAATTTCCAGTTTTTTCTTTAACACATTTTCTTTATTCTGGCCTATCTCCTTCTCCAATTATAGGATTTAAGTTTCTCTATGGGATAAAACATAGGTATTGTTCTATTGTCACAGGACAAATTCTCAATCCTAGAAAGGTCTTTGAAGGACTAGTTTCATATCCTGAGAGACTAAAAGACAGACAAGAATGCATTCTAATTTTAAAATTTTCACTGAAGGGAATTTGCTACTTTTTATAGTTATTCATTTACTTTCCAAATCCTTGTTACTGTCACTAAGTTCTTTCAATTTAAGTCTTTCTTGGTATGTTGAATGTCATTGTCTTCTGTGGCCTTAATGGGTAATGAGAAAAAACCGCTTGTCATATGGCAGGCAAGCATGGAGGCCACATTAAATTCTTCCCTCTAAATAGTATGTCTCATGGCAAAAGTGGGTTTATGAACTTCTTATAATGTCCATGGGATCTTCACCATTGAGGAAAGAGGTGAGGATGAAGTGGGCAGTGATTGCCGGGTTGATTTTCAGAAGTCTGGATCCCACAAACATGCCATCCTTTCCCCACGGCTCAAGTACTCTGGAGCAGTTCTTACCCATTAATTTCTGTACCCACATTCATGGCCCCCAAGTATAATAGTCTTACAATCAAATTTTATTTTTTTTCATTGCAAGTAGCAGAGACTTACTTGAGTTGTCTCAATGAAGAAAAAAGAATTGTTTTCCAATTTAAAAAATTCAAATTGGAATCCCATCACAAAGGGCAACCTCCCTTTTTTTCTAGCTCTTTCATGGATAGTAAGCAGGTTTTGCTTATGATGTGTCTGTGTCTTGTCACTTTTCTCTCCCTTCTACCAATTAGTTTGCTGAGTTTACTCAGAACTGATATTCACTTGTAACTGGGATTAAACTTGGTTTTAGCTTGACACCAACTTTATTCTAACTCCTGTTTTTTGAACTTCTTATCTGTTAATTAAGTCAGCATATCTCTCTTTATATCTCCATCTCTTTGTTTTTCTGCTTGTGTTTTTGTGACAGTGTCTCAATACATTTGATTCAGTTTCTCAAATTCTAGGATTATGGTTGTGCATGCCTATACCTGGCTATGTTTTCTTCCTTTTTTTTCAAGTATAGGAGTCTGAATTCAGGGCCTCAGGCTTGCTTGTTGACTACTTAAGCCATGTTTCCAGTCTGGACTTTTGTTGGTTAATTGGAGATGAAACCTCTTCTGCCCAGGTTGGCTTCAAAGTTATCTTCCAGGTCTCAGCTTTCTGAATAGGTAGAATTACAAGGCAAAAGTGGACAGTGCCTGATTCTCAATTATGTTTCTTGATCAAAATATGAAAAAAATAAGAATTTGGGACAACTTTATCTCATTATACCAGATTCAATGTCATGATCTATTGCAAGGTAGAAAACATATTTCATCTGACATTAATGCTTGGTCCAATTCACTTTGGCTAATGATAGGATGGAGGTCAAAGACTATAAAATATATAATTCTAGGCACCAAGAAAGAACTTTGACATGATGCAATTGCTCTTAGAAGACAGAACAATAATACCACTGAGTTTCCAAAGAATTCCCTTTAATGACTAAATGACTAAAACTAAGGGAAGTGGGTAAAGGCAAGAACAGTGAAAGGTGTTCAATGATGGGAAAGGAAGTTTAATTCTGCTGGATATATTTTTTATGCTGGTATTGGGACTTGAACTCAGAGCCAGGGTGCTGTCCCTTAGCTTTTCCCCTCAAGACTGATACTTGACCACTTAAACCATACCTCCACTTCTAGCTTTTTGCTGGGTACTTGGAGATAAGACTCTCACAAACTTTTCTGTCCAGGTTGGCTTTAAACTGGGACACTTAGATGTCAGTCTGAGTAGCTAGAATTACAGACTGACATGAGCCACATGTGCTTGGCATGGTAGGAGCCTTATTTTACAGAAGGAGAAATTAAAGCACAGAAAATGATTGAAAATCAAGTAATTTATACAAGATTATGCAGTAAGTGGCAAAGTCAAACATTGCCAGTCTTTGAAATGGTTTTTTTAAGGAAGAGGACACTGCTCACCAAGGCATGGAGGCCTACACAATCTGTATTTGTTACACAGATTTGTTTGGCTACTGATTTGTTTGACCTACTTCCAGGTATTAGAGGTTTAATGTTACTTAAAATTGTAAAAAAAACTGTAAAAAGATTGAATTTTAGAAAACACTCATGTGCTCATTTTTTCTGAGTAAATAAAAACCAAGTTATAAGAAGTTAGAGAAATCAACTTAGCCTTGTAAGTTATTGTTTAAAATATTTTGCCTAAGCAAGGTGATAAATTCCTATAAAATAGGCACTTATGAGGCTGAGTTAGAAGAAGAATGGTGAGTTTGAGGCCAGCTTATGCTATACAAAGAGACCTTGTTTCAACAATGACCCACCCCCCAAATACATTATCTGAAAAATGCTATTATTCAGTTGCAACTTCCAATACTGTCTTTTCTTTAGTGCTTTCATTTCCATTGTCTAATGAACTCTACTACCTATGATACACCAATTCCTTTGGAGTTGGCAGAATCAGAAATTTAGAGTGAAAGGGAATGGTAAAATCTGCACGGAAGAAGCAAATTTGAGCTGAACTACTCTTAGAGGGGGTGGTAAAATGAAGAAAAATTGTTACTTTTCTACATATATATACATATATATATATCCTTTCATTTCCAGGACTGCTGATAAGCTCAGGCTGTGCATTATATCCTTTAGGATGGAATAGCCCAGAGATAATGCAAACATGTGGGAATTTCTCCAATCAATTTCAGTTAGGTAAGGTGGGCTAAGCTGTTTTCAAAAGTTCTTCTTTGTTGTTATTTTTGCTTGTTTTATTATTTCATAAGCAGGCCTCTACTTGTTAGTGGTACTTTGCTTGAATTTCTCATGCCATTGTGGAAGGCTAGACATACCTGACTCTTTCAACTCATGGTATCTGGTTGTTAACTTCTACATTCTCAACTATATGCACTACTTCTGCACTTTTATATAATTCTCTGAGTAGTTTGTGGCAATACAATCTAGAAGGATTGAAAATAAGTGCAGCTGGGCACTGTGGCAGATACCAATAATTTCAGTACTCAGGAGGCTGAGCCATGTTTGTAGGAAATAATTGCTCTCTGTACAAACATGAAGGCAGGTCTCTATGCAGGATGTGATAAGTGTGGACAATGGAATGTCCAGTGTTCTTGATTCAGGACAGAGCTGATTAGAGAATATAATTGTGCCACAAGGGAAGAAATGAGAATATTATGGTCCTGCTAGCTGGGCCAGAGAAAATGGAAAATTTAACACATTTCTCCTACTTATTGTTAGATTTATGATTCAACTTTTTAAAAATGCTTTATTAATTTAAGTAAATCCTTCAAACCTTTGATAACGTTATTCCCCTTCAAGTAGTGTAGGTATGAAATAAAACAAACAAAACAAAATTTAGTTACTTTTTTATATAATTACTTTAACCAACCATGTGCTTTTAATATAGATCTATATACTTCTGGACTTTTCTCACAGAAACCTCCAATAAACACATGGCCCTTTTTATGGTATACAATTTTTAGCTTCAAAATATTCTGAGGATGGGTTGTGTAATACCTGTAATACCTGTAATACCTGTAATACTAGCTACTCAGGAGACCAAGATCTGAGGGTGGAGGCTAAAAGTCAGCCTAGCAAGGAAAGTCCATGAAACTCTTATCTCCAAATAACTGTGGCTCAAGTGATAGAACACTAGCCTTGAGCAAAAAAAAGCTCAAGGACAGTGCCTAAGCCCTGAATTCAAGCCACAGCACCAGCAATACACCGCCCCCTCCAAACCCCAAACCATATTCTCTGAGGAATTAAAAAATATTTTTAAGCTCCATTGCCAAACAAATCCTAATTTGAACACGTGAGACTATTTTCTTTGTTTATAAAATTTAATGTAAATATGCTTATATTTCCTTGCAGAAATATTAATATGTTAATTATACTATATCACATTAAGAGAGGAATGTGTTTTATATAATATTTAACACAATATTCTGATTCAAAAGTTCTAAAATCCAAAACACATTGGCCTCCAAGGGTTTCTAGTAAAGGATTGTAAATATGTGTTTTCTGTGAATACATCCATTGTTCTGCCTTAGCTAGAATTTTATTTTTTACCTTTCAAGAACTAGTTTTAGGGGGCTGGGAAGTTGGCTCAGTGGTAAGGCACTTGTCTTGCATGCCTGAGGCCCTGGGTTCGATTCATCAGCACCACATAAGAAAAAAGCCGGAAATGGCGCTGTGGCTCAAGTGGTAGAGCACTAGCCTTGAGCTGAAGAGCTGAGGGACAGCGCTCAGGCCCCACGACCAGACCCCCCACCCCAAAAAAAACAAAATCAAGAACTAGTTTTAGAATTTACTTTCTAATACCATCTAAACCTTATTATCTCACAATAATAATCCAAACTACATTATGTAAGTTCATAATGTGTATAAAATGCATATATGATGTCCATGTGTTAAAATTCATATTAAATCTCCAAATAAAAATGGTTTTATTTTAATGGATTACTAGTACACTACACAAAAGATTACAACTACACTACATAACTAACCTAATTGAATAAGGCTGATACCCTAAATTTATGCAACAAAATTGTTTCTTTGTGCAGAACATATAGCTATAAATAAAGCAATTATTTTATAAACTAAAAATACTTAACATGTGATAAAAAAATCCACTCTCTAAAAGTATACAATCAATGGTTTTTAGTATAGTCACAAGGTTAGGTAACCATCATTACTTTCCAATTGCAAAGTATTTTCATCAGCATAAAAGAAATCTCTTACCTATTAGTAGTCTGTTTACATTTGCTTGTCTCCCCAACCTGGAAACCACTGTTAGTATGGACTTACCTATTCTAAACATTTCATATAAATAAAATCATGCAGCACATTATTATTTGCGATGTAAAAATATTTGTTTTTGAAGAAATGAGGAACAAAATATACAGAGATTCAAAGTTGTCACATTGTTAAAGTTCTTTACATATTCAAAGCTCTGTATATTTTTCACATATGTGACATGCAGTACATCCTTCCATTCGGCAGGTTGTCATATAACATTCTTGATGTCATTCTTTTGAAGTGCATAAATATCTAATTTTGATGAAATCTGATTTACCTATTTTTTTATTGTAAAAAGGGGCTACAGTTACATGAGCAAGGTAATGAGTCCATTTCCTATCGAGCATTGTTACCCCCCTCCTTTGTTTTTCCCCTACCATCCCTTTCCTTCCTGCCTTCCCAATTCCTCCTTACCCCCCAAAAACTTTGTAAAGTTTGTTTACATTTTTCTAATTTGGGGAAGGGAAGGGAAATAACAAAATGCTGAAATAAGGATACAGCATGACCCATTGTAACAACGAGATGTACAATACACTATGTTAATTTACCTATTTTTTTCTTTTGGTATTTATGCATTTGCTCCCATATCTAAGAATGCATGGACTTATGAAAAGTTATGGTTTTTTATTTTTATTGATATATATTTTATTGTAAAGATACTGTGAAAAGTTATGCTTTGCCTCATATTTTTTGTGTATAGTTCTGTGTGAAAGTCTGACTTTATTATTTTGCATGTGTCTATTCAGTTATTGAAAAAACAATTATTTTCCTCTATTTAATGATCTTGGTAACCATACTGAAAAACAATTGCCTGTAAATGTAACTGTGTACCTGAGCTCTTGATTCTATTCCACTAATCTGTATATGCATCCCTAGGTCAGAACTCAGCTGTTTTGACTATCACAGATTTTTTTCAACATTTTATTGTCAAGGTGATGTACAGAAGGATTACAGTTACATAAGTAAGGTAGTAAGTACATTTCTTGTCAAACTTGTCACCCCTTGTTACCCCCCTCAATTTTCTCCCACTTTCCCTCCTCTCCACTTCCCCCCAATTTTACAGATAATTTCCAATATATTGTCTTGTGAGTATTGCTGTTGTATTGGTTTCCCCTTGGTCTTTGTCTCACCATTTTGTTGTTCCTCTTCCCTCACTAATTTAGAGAAACGCATATAAAATGCCCAGGGTACCAAAATCAAATACAGCAACAACAAGGGATAAACCATAGGGTGAAGAACACACAAAAGAAACAAGACTTCCTTATTGAAGATTAGATGGCTATAGGTCTGTGGGTTCATTTCTGGGTTTTCAATTCTATTCAGTTGGTTCTGAGGTCTCTTCTTGTGCCAGTACCAAGCTGTTTTGATTACTATGGCTTTGTACTAGAGTTTGAAATGTGATATTGATATTCTTCCAGCACTGTTCTTTCTGTTAAAGATCGTTTTTGCTATTCGGGGTCTTTTATTGTTCCACATGAATTTTTGGATTGCCTCTTCTATTTCCTTGAAGAATGAGGCTGGAATATTGATAGGTATCGCATTGAATTTGTAGATAGCCTTGGAAAGTATTGCCATTTTCAGGATGTTGATCTTTCCAATAGAGGAGCAAGGGAGTTTTTGCCACTTTCTAAGTTCTGTTTTGATTTTCTTTTTGAGGTTATTAAAGTTTTCATCATAGAGGTCCTTCACTTCTTTGGTTAAGTTAATTCCTAGGTATTTTATTTTTTGTGGGACTATTACGAATGGAGTTGCTTTCCTGATTTCAGCCACACTTTTCTCATTGTTGCCATACAGAAAAGCCATTGATGTTTGAGGGTTAATTTTATACCCTGCTACTTTGCCAAAGTTTTGAATCAGCTTGAATAATTTGGGAGGTTTCCCTTATTTGCAATTACTAGTATATGTCTGAGACAAGCAAAAATGGTCAGATAAGTTCATGTTAGGTGAAATGAATCCCAAGATAAGGATTCAAATGTTTTTTCTTTCTTGTGATTGTTTCTAACATATTTATAAGATGATTTCTTTTTTGCTTTGTATGTCCCTCCCCCCTGGGATAACCCCTGTTTTCACTTTATTTGATGTTGGTATAATTTGTGGAGGGGAAAGGAAAAACAAATTATTTAAATAGGGATACAGGTAGACCCATTGCAACAATGTGATGTACAAGGCATTATGTCGAAAAATGAACTTTACAACTTTGGCCCGGGGTGGGGGATGGGGAAGGAAGGAGGGGGGTGGGAGGGGAGCGGTGGGGGGGCGGGGAGATGGGAAGGGATGGGAATGGAAACAAAGGAGCAGGCACCAATGCTTGATAAGAAATGTACTCATTACCTTGCCCATGTAATTGTAACCCCTTTGTATGGTATTTTCACAATAAAATAGAAAAAAAAGAAACAAGACATCACATAATACATTAAAAACAACAACCACAATGTAAAACCTCTTATGTCCATGTGTTGGAGTTCATTTCACCTAGCATTATCTTATATGGTCATATGTACATGGCTATTGAGCTATTCTGCTCATCTGCTAGGATTATCCTAGGCATATACTTCTTATTACAAATGAGGGAAACATGGGACCTATATTTCTTTGAGTCTTGCTTATTTCACTCAATATGATTTTTCCTGTCTTTCCATTTCTTTGCAAATGGGGACGATGCCACTCTTTCTGATGGAAGCGTAGAATTCCATTGTATTTATGTATGTACATACACACATACATATGTATGTATGTATAGATAGATAGATAGATGTACATTTGCCACATTTTCTTGATCCATTCGTCTACTCAGGGACCATAGAGGTATCATAGATTTATAGTGATGAAATTGAAAGTTCAAGTTATCCTATTTCAAAACTCTTTTGACTGTTCTGAGTCCCTTGTACTCCCACGTGTAC